GTCGCTGAAAGTGTCCGTCGCAAATCCGTCGCTGATTTCCGTCGCTGATCCGTCGCTGATAGCATTACCTACGACATTTTGACCGACGGAGTATCAGCGACGGATCAACGACGGAAAGCACTTTCAGCGACGGATCAACGAGGGAATTTTCCCTCGCTGATACCCAGCATTTTTGTAGTGAAAGGTTATATCAGGATATATATTCAATTTTTAAATATCATTTTATATTGCAAAATATCTTTGAAATAGTTGGTGGTTCATATCTGTATCAAAATCTGAAAATGACAAATTAATGCAATTTCACATTCAGAAAGTCTAAAATTTATGTTTAAAAAAAATAGAACTTAGAATCATGTATTTATCATACACAATCATCATTCAAAACTTCTTGATACACTACATTTGATGTGTAGACTCCTTCCTGGTTGAACTTTTTGGCAGGTTTCACTAATACCTTCGTATTACCACATGGTATCCCTCTGGACAATGCCACGTAAAGTTGGTCGTGCGAGGATACCGATTCCGGTAGATAAACACCTACCACCGGAATTGTCTGTCCTTGAGCTTTATTGATTGTCATGGCAAAACAAAGTCGAACAGGAAATTGTTTTCTCTTTAATTTAAAGGGAAACATATCATCTTCAGACGGACATAGAGGAATTCTTGGTAAAAATACTCTCTTACCAGCATGTTGACCAACAGCTATTTCTGCATCGATAGCATTCTGCTGAAAACCTCTACATATCAACCTCGTGCCGTTACACAATCCATTTGAGGGGTCGATATTCCGCAATAGTATTATCGGACATCCAATTTTAAGCCGGAGGTAATGAGGGGGCAAACCGCTAACAGTCAAAGAGTTTAAGAACTCCATCGAATATAAGTTATTCTTGTCATCTTCTGCTTCATCAAAACTGTAGTAAATTTATTCCTCTCCACAGAATCTTTCAATCAACTGATCATTAATCTCGTCGACATGCTCATTTTTTGTTGTTAGTATCGCCCTCGAAATGATATAATTTGAAGCAGTCTCGCATGTTTGAAGAGAAGGAAAGATTGCATCAATCAAAGCATCCTTCGATTCATTTTTATTTGTGTAAGGAATGGCCATGTCATCAGGTATGCGAATAAAGTTTCCGTCTACTGATTCTTCATCTCCATCACCGACACGTAACAGAAAATCCGAAAACCATGGATCAGTAAGTGCTCTCATATTGATCGTTAACCGCAACTTTTTAATCGAAGACCAAATAGGTGACATCCGTAAGCTTGAATCTACGATCTGTGCTCGAGTGCCATGTCTCATTACTGGCAATACCTGTCTAAAATCACCTCCCATAATCATTATTTTCCCAACAAATGGAAGTCTCACCCCAGTGATGTCTTGCATTGTTCTATCGAGTGCCTCTACTGCCTGCCTCTTTGCCATTGTTCTACCAGTGATGAAATCAGAGGACTGTTCACAAGTCCCATTGCAAGATGATCTTCCTACCCCAATTTTGCAGGTTTTGATCTTTTGTTTTTGGTTGTTTCATGTCAAAGTTAGAAACTTTGGTTGCTGCCTATTCTACAGAACTTCTTGGAGCGCTGTATGCATTACAGCACCAACAGGTTCTTTTTGTACAGATTAGTTCAACAAGAGCAGGCAAGTGATAATCATAATAGTAAATGTCAAAACATAAAACAGAAAGTTAATGAACCCAAACAGAAAGTTAACTAAATTTAGGCAACCTGAAAGCAACCTGCGATTTTCTGAAAGCAACCTGCGATTTTGAGGCGATTGAACGTTCGKCCTGATGCCTTGTGCTGCTGCGCARGTAGAGAAGCAATAATCTGTTAATGTTATGCAAAACAGTGCAAGATGATCTAGCAAAACCTAAAAACGATTAGAAACCTATACTAAATTTAGGCAACCTGAAAGCAACCTGCGATTTTGAGGTGATTGAACGATTCGATGCAAAACAGTGCAAGATGATCTTCCTACAGCAAAACCTAAAAACGATTAGCGGTGGGAACGACGACAAACAGTGCAAGATGATCTTCCTACAGCAAAACCTAAAAACGRTTAGCGGTGGGAACGACGATTTTGGGCGATTGTGAACRACGATTGAACGATGGACGACTCTTAAAGGAACCATCTTGGGAGCGAATCGTCGTCTTGRGAGGCGATAAGGGGGCACAACGTTCTTGGGGGAGGGAAGCCGGGTAAAGTGAAGAGTCATCTTGGGGGGAGGGGAGGCGTGTAAAGGGAGGGTGAGGGTATTTTGGGTATTATAAAAGCTAAGACTTTAAGACTTTGGACAAATTTGTTTAATAAAGTAGTATAGATTAACTGAATACATATATTCTAAAGGTATTTTGATATATTAGTTAGATAGATATCCTACAAGTCCCGTGTATGTAAATTAGTTCTTTTAAAATAGTATAGAGCTTGAATTTTGACAATTCAACAGATAATTTCATTTGGCGATGATTTGGTAAAAATATATGCTACGTGTTCCTATGATCGAAAAAAAGTCCAATTGTATTTTGTCATCTCTTGAATTGCATTTATAAGGAAATGATGTTGGAGTGCGAAGTACTTGTACAAATATGATAGTGTTGGGGATAAATTACATTAACCAATACACACAAGGTCCCAATCGAATGTGTGCAATTGTAGAAATCCGAAAATAATAGGATCTTAGTATGTTCAAATCAATGTTTCAAATTGGATAACAATGCATAATTGTGATAATCTACATAATGTAAATTCAAGGAAAGCATGTAAAGAATACAATGATTCCATTATCCTGAGATAGTGCACATCCAAAGGGGAGAGAGGGGCTTTTATGTATTGATCAAATGTGGGAATGATTACCAAGAGTTTACCTGTAACAATGATGAATGAAATCACAAGGTAAAACTCGAAACTATTGATACTCAGACATTGTTTATCATCCAAGAGAAGAAGAGGAACTAAGAACATGATAAATAGGAACCCTAGGTCGATATTTATTGCCAACATCACCTATGATATTTGTTTCAGGTTAAACGAATATTGTTGATAGCAAATTCAAATATAAAACAAGTTTACCATGTCCACAATATTACATATGATTCTATTGATAGTAAATTCAAATATAAAACAAGTGTACTCTGTCCACAATATCACATGTGATATTTGTTTATTTTGAATCACATTAAGCTAACAACATAAAGACATGCAATATTTTACATGTTAAAACTAAAGAAACATTAATTATATCAAATGTGATATAATATATATGATAATTCATATGAATCTACTGTCAATATCACATGGGATGATATACAAGGTAAGACGGGGGAATTTATTACCAATGTCACATATAATAAACCATAGAAAATCGTCAACTATATATCACATCAGGTGAAAAATATATTTTAAAACCAACACGTTTAAATCATGTAAAATAAAAAATATGTCATACAAAATGAAAACCCTAGAATCAACCCAACACAACAAATGAGATTATGCACATGAAATTAAACTATAAAAGCAACATATAAATGAGACGAAACACTTGTAATCGAACCCTAATATCAAACTCTAAATCAAGTTTCCTCTGGTCACTACCATCGCCTCTATCACCATTTAGCTTCTCTTTTATCTCCTTGTCAATGAAAGGTCTTGCTAAAATTTGTTTAAAACTTATAGTTTACACATCCTCCAGCCAAAGGTACAAGTGATCGAAGTTTGGAGCTCAAAAGTTTGACTAGGCTACGTTCCAAGCGGCTAAGTCACACGGGCCCAAGCTGTATCACATGGTGATTGAATGAAGATGCCACACATCACCAAGAGACTTCTCGGGGGAGGGGGGCTCCAGGTGGCAGGAGTCATAACACAGGAATGGGCGACATGGAAGTAGCCTCGTGTGGGTGCCTTGGCTCGACCCTCACAAACGACTCAGGCAATCTTCACTGGGCAACTTAGGTCGCGTCGGAAGTCTCTAAACACATCTAACCATATAAAAGGCATATGCCTTGATATTTTTGGCAGTCTCAGATTTGGTTTTCTTTCTCTGTGATTCCAATATTAAAAAAGGAATGTTGATTTCATTGTTTTGAGTTGATCTATGATCCAACGATCTTCGTAAACCTGTTGTAATCTTTCTGATTAGTAATACATAGATCTTTCTCTCTTTTCTTGTGGACACATCACCTAAATAATGGAACCACGTTAAATCTCGTTGTTTCGATTACTTATCTCTTTGATATTTGCTCGTATATTCATTTATTATTTCTTTATATACACTTATTGACAAGTGTATCTTATTAGACTGTCATATACAATATCTAGATCTGGTTTATCCATTTTTGTTGTATTCGTTCATTTGCGTTATGGTTTATTCATAATATTTTGGAATATTAAATCACTTGACCATTATTAGTATTGAAAATGTGACCGACCCTACAATTGGTATCAGAGCTTGATAGATCTGGATTTGACCATAGATTGTATATTGTTGAGTTTCATATCATATGCTCGATAAAATGCCTAATCAAATAGAAAATTTGTTGTTAACTTCCACTTTTAACCCGGATGGCGATAGAAAGGGCACACTTGATCCAACAAGAGACAAGATTAGAATAGAGAAATGGAACGGGGACGATGATTTTGATAAATGGAAGTTCACTACTATAGCAACACTGAGGAAAAATGATATTTATCGCGTACGTATTTTCATTGGAAGGTAGAGATAGAGATATATTAGTTTTAGAGGCTAAGGAAATGGATGTTTACGCTTTCACTATCTAACAGATGGCTACTGGACCAAATGTGATTTCTATTTTTTTTTCTTCTGAAAAGATAGCTGAACGGATTTTGAGAAGAATTGAGAATCTCACTCAAGAAAACTTTGACTAAAAGACTTTATCGATGAGGGTATGAATGTTCAGGTTCATATGACTCAATTTGAGGATAAAATAATGAAGTTGAAAGCAAAAGACTCTATTTTTGCCTAAGATGATAAAGCACTTGCTTTGATTTTGTTTTATTCATTATTTGCAAAATATTCTCAGTTCACTAATAGTTTTATTTAATTAGGAAAACTTTTCAATTCTTTTCCTATAAGAAAGCATGGATTATTTGTGAAGATCAAAATATTCATATTAAAATTGGTAAAACTTTGTAGGATAACAACCACAACAGTTAAGATCTATTTGTTCAAAGAGACCATGGTAATCAACAAAACAGGGGAAGGAATCGTGACCACTCCCAATTTTGTAAACTTGGTTATCGCAGGAGATCTAAGCAGCTTGACAATTGCAATTATTGTCACAAACCAGGTCATTGGATTAGAGATTGTTTGAGTTTGAAAAACAAAGACATGCACAAAGTGGAGTCTTCAATAGTTGCAACTGAACACGATAACAACTTCACAACTACCGTTACAGTACCAAGGTGAAAAAAATTGGGTGTTGGATTTCAGGGCTATCTGTCTTATGATATCGCTTTGAGATTGTTTCACAACTTTCGAGTAGTTTAAACACCCTCTTAAACTACCCGGGTTCAAATCAAGATATTATTATACTAAAAAAAATTGTGATTTTAAGTTGGTCATTTTTCTAATTGATTTGATTATATATTTTATTTTTTATTTAAATATTTGAACTTATATTCTTTTCCTCTTATAGAATTGGGTATTTTCTATAATTTCTTCACATCATCAAACGTCGCAGCCGATCATTAACCTACCTCGCTTCCCATTTATGGATTTTAGAAGCTCTTTTTAGATTTTATTCTAAATGTGTTCTTCTGATATTAACAAAATATTCTTGTTAGTGTGTGGGTTTTTTGTGATTAACCGATTCTTTATAAAACATAATGTGTACAACTAAAAATAGTGAATCAGGTTATTTGAAATGCTAAAAAAGAACACATAAATAATTTATTTAAAGTCAAAGATAAGTTATAAATCAATTTATTTTTAGCAATTCATATATAAGGTCATATTTATTTTTTTGCACATGACTAATCCTGACTCTCATTACTATAAAACTACCTAAAACGTGGTTGTCTTCATTTTAGTATGCCATATAATTTTACTACACATATATACTTCTCTCCTCAATCCATTTTATCATAAAAGAGGCATAACTGATATTGTTGACTCCTAATCGATCTAAGGGGCTGTTTACTAATTTCTTACCACCTCTTACCCGTTAAGAGATGCTTACCCGAGTAAGAGGTAAAAATGTTTACCTAACAGCAAAATCAACAATCAGATTTTCGGCCTCTAACCGTCCTCTTACTGGAGTCAGCAAAAAAAAAAGAATCTTACCGTGGTAAGAGGGATGTATTTCTAATATACCCTTTTCATCTAAAACCCTAAATAGATGCGTCTTTCTTCATACAAACAGGTGGGTCATGTCCGATTCAAGGTGTTGGACGGTGATGAGAGGCAA